TATTACATTCTCAAGTGATGATGATAAAAACAAACCTCAGCAGCAAAGAGAAGCAGAAGAAAGAGAAGCTTTTTGGGCAGGTGCTTGTTCCTAACATATTAGACCACTTTCACAGATCATGGGTTCAATCTAGGTAACAAGTGACAATGATTGCGGACAAGAAGCAATCCTCAGCGGCACGCGATCCATCCATCCCAAAGACGAGAAAAGAAAGAAGAGATTTACATTAGGTAGAGAGCTGGAATCTGCCGCTCGGCTTTTTTCTTCTCCATCCCTGCCAAATATATCACCCACGAAGGTTATGAGTTTCTAAAGATATATAACCTATGGACATAAATAATTTACCTGAAAGAATAGAACATGCAGAGGGTTTAAGAGACTTACAAAGGCGATGTAATATATAAAGGTCAGTCCAGCGAGGACAACAAACCCGATTTGGAACACATTGTACCTGAATTATATCGATAAGTAAGGGACGGATATAGTCAGTATTATCTTATGTATAAGAATGAGACCTTTCTTTACAAAAAAACAATGTTGCTTACTTGTAGAGGTACTTAATTCCGCGAAGGGACTGCAAAGTATGGCCAAAGATCTCCTGAGCGGCGGTGGCTTGAGCATAATATCCAAACGCAGTAGCGCAGAATTGAATCACACTGGAATTTCAGCGAGCCACAATAATCGATTGTAAGAATTCTATTTACCATACGTTTGATGCTATCAGCTGATGGGGAATCAGAGGTCAAAGAAGCCTACCTTATTGAACAGAGAAGAATGAGACCGACATTGAAGAGGAAAGAGTTCATTAGAGTGGCTCCCCATCTGAAAACAATTAAATCACGCTAATGAGAAACCAAAAGAAAACAGTAAGACCTCTGAGTAGCAAAAAAAAGCATCTCAAAAACGTAAGATTAATTACTTCATTGGATGAATGGTAATGAAGACCAGCTTCAACCCAAGCATCATTGCCCCAGCAATAACAGCAAGTAGCAGGTAGAAACAGAAGAAAGCAAAGGCAGCAGTGCCTAGAAGACCTAGAGAATAAGAAAATGTCACATGTAGTAACATAGAGTCAGGCCAGGCACAAAAGGAACATGGTAGAGAGTAACATAACAAGATCAGAAAATGAAGTTACCCCAGACATCATCCAGTTTGATGAAAACCTCATTAAGAAAAGCAGAGAGGGGAGGGTCAACAAGTAGATATATGATAATGTGTGCAATCCAAGCCACAGAGACGATCAATCTTCAAAGAGAAAAGAGAACAAATAATTCAATAAGAGCTTATCCGAGGGATTTTAGAGGTAGAGTGTAAAATAATAAGAAGATTATGTAAACACCAACCCTAAGATTCCAAGAATAAACTTGGCCAAGTATCCAAGGACAGTGAAAGCCCAAGCAGTTTCCGCCTGAAAAAAAAGGACAAGACATTGTTGGAATATAGAATTCTTTAGATAGATAGAGTACTGAGAAACAGTCATTTCCACCTTCTCTCCTTGAGGATACACCTCTTCTAAGAGGTTCACATCTTCTTCCAATTGAAGCAACTCCTACAGGGTACATGAAAAGCAAGTAAAATCAAATTAGGAGCACTTGAGATTACAAATTAAAGTCAAGCAAGCATATAAAGCTGCCAATATCAATGGGTCTATAGCAGAACTGGTTTCTACTTTATAGCTAGCTTTTCACTAGGAATGATCACCTTTTCAACTGCTTTCACATTTTTCCTCCACTTCCTGCCCTTAGCACCACTTCTTTCCTCCTGATGAAGTGAATCAGCTGCTTTTTTTAGTTCTCTTGCCTTTTTACCTAGTTCAGTTGCTTCCTGTAAAACATTTAGATGACTTGTCAGGCAACCGAGAGTGCCAATGACTCGATATACATAATCAACACAATGAACCTTTATGTACTGTGACCGAGTGATAACAGCCTTTGGTCGTCTGATGAATGCAGTGATAAGTCCCAAGGGTAGGGAAGCGATACCAACACCACCAAATATCTAAAACATTTGAGATAGAAGAGTTTTTAAGAATCATTAGAGGAAACTAAAAAATGACACCCACCAAATGTCTTTTAAATACAAGAGAACAATTCTATGCCTTCCAGGCCAATGAGGTGCAAGTGTCAACACAAAAACAAACTATTAGAAGGATGTTCATACCGTGAAAAGGACTGACCCGACGATTGTAGCAAGAGCAACAACATATTCTGGAAATGTCGTTCGCATGGTCCATGTTTTCTCAGATGCGGCATTAGCTGTATAGGCTGAGCACTGCCGATCAAAACAACAGAGGAAGAACGGAAAATAAATTACATACTAAGATATATTTTCCATACACCATTGAAAAATAAATTAATACCATGAATGCAACCAAAATTCAAGTGTTACCTGACGAGCAGTGTTACCAATGCAAGGTTGATTATTTGAAAATTGCCACGAAGTTGGGAAAGTCGTTGTGGCAGAAGACAAGTGCCTGACAGAAAAATCCACCTTCCCAATGACACCTAATACATTGAAGAAGAACATTAGAAACAAACACTCAAGGAACATGAACCCAAAAGCAAACTTAAACCATCATTTAAAGATTAAATGATCCCACTATTGGTCAATCACCACTCCAACTAAATCAGACAAACCAGGAAGAACATGAAGCTCAAATCTACATAAGAAACTACAGCTCATGTAACAACTAACCGTATAAGATTCCAAGCACCAGAGCACAAACAACAGCTGTAGTAACCACCCAAATCAAAGCACTTTTTATCCTCTTTCCAAGAGTTCTGCAGTAAAAAATTCAAGCCCACAAACAAAAACCATCACCAAATTTCGATTTTTCAACTACTAACTCACAAATTAAATTCGTGGAGAAACAAACTTGTCCTGGTCGCCTTCATAGAAAAACATAGCGAAGGGGATAATGAAGAACACAAGCACCGCGTCAACAATGTAAACAGCAAGCCACAGATCCTTCATGGGTAAAGTGAGATTGCAAGCTCCATTGTAAATCGAATGTCGACAAGCATGCCGGTTCGCTACATCTGCGGGTAACATGAGAATGGAGATCATAGCAATAGATAACCCAAAAACAACGACGAATTTGGGAAAATAAGCCTGGTTTGCATCATCTGGATGCTGATAGTTGACGAGGAGGTAGATGCTAGAGATGAACACAATGACACAAACAACAATCGCGACAATCACGAGAGCGAGATTAAAATCGCCCATCGCTCTGAGAAACGTACGAGGTCCCAAACCTCGACTCGATTGGAAAAATCTAGGGTTTCTTGGGGATTCGAATTTCAAATTTTAAATTTGGGGATTTTTTTTATGTAGATCTGGGTTTTTTTTTTTTTTCCTCGCTAGAAACCCAGACTAGAAAGAGAAACGAAGAAGATTCGAGTTTTGCGTTTAGATAGTATTTACGGATAAGCCTTCACTGACATAACTTATTCACGATAATACCGTCACTGATGACAAATGGGCATGGGTGTTACAGTAATTTGAAGGACGGCACGAGACCAGCCTGTCCGCACCAAAAGAGATTAGGCCATAATTTCGATTTAATTAGAGGTTGAAATTTGGGAATACATCTATGCTGTCTCAATCCTTTTACAATTTTTAATAATAATTATTATCTGAAATTAATACAATATATTTGGAAGAAAACAAAATATGACTGATACAAAGCAATACAATCTTTTGAAATGGTTAAATAGTTGATAATACAGCTAAAAAGTAAAAAAGGTACAAAATTATAGCGACATATAAAAATATGAAAAATAGCTATATGATCTCTATTTTTATTTATCTACCGTTATATCAATTGATTAAACATGATTTAATATACATTGTATCGCAATTATACAATGTTATACATCAAAACCAACAAATATTTTTCTGATTATAAGAGCTAAATTAATTATCTCTAATTTTTTTAGATATAATGTAAATTTGTTTAGTTCAAATTTTGAGATATAAGGGGGTTATCGACAAGTAATAATTAGATTGAGTTTGTTGATTTTAAAAGTTTGGAGATTTGTTAAATTTGTCCGAGAGCAAACATTGGGTTGGTTTGGTTATTATATGTAACCAATTTAGTATTCAATTTGCTTGTACAATCTATTTCCAAAAGCCGTATATATTGGGAACAAGAAACTATTGTCTACTTTTCCTTCATTTACTCCCTCCATAGATGTCGAGCAAATTTCAAGTGACATTAAAAAGTAATTAATTTTATGGACTAAAGTAAGTGAGCTTATAATAAAAAAATCCGTTTCATGTCATATTAAAATTCTGGAAGCAGACACATAAAAAAATCTCTAGAGAATCACATCCCAAATGAAATCATCGTGGTTGTTTTGGTTTGATACCTAAACCATTATTTATGTTTTATGACCAAAAAAAAAAAAAGATAATTATTTATGTTAATGCATAACGAAGTAAGATCTCTGTTTCGTAATTATTTATGATAATATTATAAATTTTACTATTTATTATTTTGTTAGTAGCTTGACAATTACTTTCTATTTTAAAATTTATTTATTTTAATTAATTTTAAGTTTTAACACAGTTTTCATCTGATCAATATTAGATACATGTCGTGATCTCGTGAGTTATAACTTTGCTTACGTGTCATGCTGATATAAAAACGCATTGCGGTAAATAATTTTGATTTACAGTTTATAACGCCTATAATTTAAAAAATGTAATTAGTAACTAAATTACGACTCGCACAAATATTTATTATATTAGCAAAATCACACTTATAAATATGACAATTCATTTTTTCTTTAACTATTTAGATAATTTGTAATGGAAAAAATATATTTTATAATATAAAAATTTAGAAATATTACATATTTTAGTAGAACGGTTTTTTTTTTCTTAATTAGTCCATAATATTTGTTTAAAATAGATTCATTATTGTCTTTTTCTTTTTTGTCAATATTAGAAATATTATATATTTTCGTAGAACGGTTTTTTTTTCTTTTTTCTTAATTAGTCAATACTTTTGTTTAGAATATATTTCTTGTTTTTTTCTTTAATTTTTTTGTTAATATTGACACATGTTACAATCTAAATTAATAATTACACGTGTTGCGTTTTCATCATGCGCATCCTCATTTATATAATAAGATTAAATAGTCAAACTAAATTTCTGAAATTCATATTATTAATAAAATTGATGTTATTGACAATAAAAAATTAACAACAAAAAAATGAACAACAATATCTATAATAAAAATCAAACAACTATATATTTCACATTTTTAAAGACTAAATTTAAAAACAAAATTACAAAATAATTTATCCGCGTGTATGCGGGAGAATCATCTAGTACA